TATAAAAGTGGTGTTTCATTTTAATCACTAAATGAGACATCACACTATATATATATATATATATATATAGTGATGTTTCATTTTAATCACAGAAAAATGTGGATTTTAGGTTACTTTTTTAATCTGAAAATTGGAGACTTTTTGAAATCAGAGAAAACCAGGATCCCTGCTGATCTCTCACTTCCTGAGTAAGTGCCTTCACCTGTGCTTTGATGTGTTACTTATCTGCTTTAGTACTAATTCCATAAAACGGTAACGATTGGCAAAATTTGGCTTGTAGATATGTGCCAGGGTCTTTTATATTTCTAAAAATATTCATCTATGCAACAGCCACTTATTAATAATGAAATTGGTATAGTATAACATTAAAAAAAATGCATTGCATGGATGAATGTTAACATAATTTCTATGTCAGAAAAACTACATAAAATTGCATTAAGGTTCAGTCTAAAAGGAACTGATATGCATGAACAGGCATAAAAATAAATGCCTTAGCTTTATTCCACAAATGTTTGCGCAACGGATACCCAGTAGCACAAGATAGTGAGTGGTTCTTTAATACAACTGAGAGCAAGAAATGTTAAGCACTAAAAGTATGTCATGCACTAGAGTCAAGATTCTCAGCTGTATTCAAGACAATTGAGGAAACGTAAAAAGGAAAGGTCGAATCCTACAGCATAGGGGATGAGGACAGGTGTGGTGAGTTAACCTAACATATTTTGTTGCATACAGCATGCACCTTTTGTTCCTCAAAAATTAACTCCTGGAAACTAGAGGGCACATTATATGCAAGGAAATACATTAAGAGCAGTTTCTGCTGCTTACTGGCTAAAGCCAAAGTAAAGACTGAGCCAGACCAACAGGGAGCAGAACGATGAGCAGGCTCTGCTCCCTAGCTGCTGCTACTTACTTACAACAAGGAAAGATCTTTTTTTCTTCATTCTGCTTTTCAAAACCAAGTTGTGTGTCTTATTCCAGGGTATGTTATAGGTAAGAAAATACAGTATGTGGTTAAACAAATTCCATTAAAGCACATTGATCCATACCCCCACACCATGAATCCAACTGAAATTTTTCCAAAAGGTAGAAGAGATGCACACAGAGTCACTTTCTTTCATTAATTATGTACAAAGGTAGAAGTGTAGGAAACAGCTTGTATTTTTGTTGTGTTTTCCAGAGATGATGAGCATTTATTAATCCAGCACTACTGCCAAAGTTTGAACCAGGAATCCCCACTGAGCCAGCCCCGAAGCCCTGCCCAGATCCTGATTTCCCTGGAAAGTGAAGAGAGAGGTGAACTAGAGAGAATCCTAGCAGATCTGGAGGAGGAGAACAGGTGATCTGTACATTCCTAAGCATGACTGTAATTGTGTGCATACATGACGTGACCCCAAACAAGCCATGCTACAACCTGAGAAACTGGTTGTTAGGCTGTCTGTTTCATTATGTTTGTCCCAGTGAATCTTCTGCCTGCATTCTCTTCAACAGTTTAGATCTGTGGGGGATGATAAGAATGAAATGGTATCATTATAATCCCATTCATGCTTTTTTTGATACGCTGATGATATTGTGTTCAGCCCTCTTTGCAGAACCTTTGAAATCAGAAATTTAAAGGAAAATATGGGTCACTTAATCTTGTGATTATGGTGTTACTTATTGCAAGTTCTTCAGTCAGTGATGACTAACTCTTTTTGCTGTAATATGCTGTTTACATCAGCTATGTTACAATAATATTTTAAAACTCTTATTTCAGTCTTACCTTATTCCATATTAGCCATTATCTGAAAGAGAGTTTGTGCTGTTGAGCCCTAGAGGAGGCTTTTTTCCCTTGAAAATTACCAGTTGGCTGGCATATTTTTCCTGGAGAGATCGGTCAGAAGTATATATAAAGGAAAGATTTGAAATAGCTTCAAAATAGTATTCTGTTAAAAGATAAAAGAGCTGTGAAATAAAGGTACAATACATTCAGACAGGATAAAATTCACCTCAGTGCCCTTGCCGGGGCTAAAGTGTGTTATAGATGGTGCGTCTTGGCTTTGTGATAATGCTCTGAACAGGGTGAGTGTTCTGCCAGACTAGCAAAAAGAGATACATTTTTGGTGCCATTTTATTTCAGTCTTCTTATAACCTTGCTTTTGACCTCTTGCTTTTCGTTGTTTTTCATCACAAGAGCATGAACAGGTTCCTGCAGCAGCAAAACACTGTAGTCCTTTTTCTGTGGCAGCTGTATTCCACTATCATAAACTCCCACTAACCTTGATCTATCAGATGACTAGCCAATTGAGTATTATGGTTATGAATGTTATTGAAAAATAAGGAGTCCGGTCTCAAACATCATTGGAATTAAAGAAAATAAGTATTGTTAGTATCCAAGCTTTTAGGGTATAAATTCCTTGCATTTCCTTGTTTTTATTCTGCTTCTCTGAGGGCTAAGAATGGTTTTCTTATTTTTAAATGAAGGCAGAGATTTTTGTGTAATCATTTGTTTCTGGAACTGAGGCTTTGAGACATATCACAAGACTCCTGAAAGAATCGGCAACACTTGTTTTCCACTGCCTACAGGATTTTTTGAGTGATTTAGGTGGATTGTAGTGGCCCTTATGTCGCATCACCTTCCAGCCATTAACATAAAGTTTTGGAGTTGTTTAGAGATAAATGATCATTGGCTACCAGAATGACCCTAGATGCCTTTCGCAACTAGCATAGATGAGAGCAGACTGAGAAAAACTGATCTGGTACCCAGATATCCCAGAATGTGACATACACACAAAGCTACCTTTGTGCTTCCTTCTGGACTTGCACCAAATTCTTCTCAGTTATGTCAATTAATTAAGGCCATGTAGCTGTCCTTCCTGAAAGACCACAAAAATACTTTCTTCCCTCTGGAAACTAAGGTGGACTTCTCTGTATGACTTGGCACTTGAACTCCACATATAGCAGGGGTTACTGGTCTCTGTAATGTCTTGTTTGTTTATATCCCCAAAACACTGAAGCATTTACACTGTGCTAAGAGGCACCATTTACAACCCACTGGGTGCATCTAACATGTGCACTTTACTTTGGAGCAGACTAATTGGTTCTACAGTAAAGCATCACAGTCTACATGTATACCAGTATTAGGGCACAGCAAATTAATTAACTCTCTCAGGAACAGTACTATCTTATAACAGAGTGGCTTACTGTGCTAAAACATGTAGATGGTGACTGGTGGCTCGCTCAGCCCACCCAGCCAGCCAGCCCCAGCTCAAACTGCTGCTGTCCCAGGTGCACATGTAGATGCTGGGAGCAGTTGACTCCAAAGCAAGCTGCTCCAGTTTATTACATTGCATTAATTGCATGTGTGGATGCACCCACTGTTACTTTCCCACTCCCTTCTTTTAACATTGAAATAATACGACTTAATTCAGACTATAAATTATTTGGGCCAGGTTCTGTCTGTGTCTGCCAGCACCTAACATAAAGGGATCCAGATGTGATGGCAGTAATTAGACAGTACTATAATACAAGTAGTAATTTTTTTTTAAAATGAAGGTTTGATCACAAACTCTGGTGTTAGATCTGACTAGCCCCAGCAGTAACAACACCATCTCTTTGTAAAAATAGTGGATGTCCCTTTTCTCACTCCAAGTGTGATACCTCAGAATCTCAGTCTGATAAAACTCAGCACCCTGACAGAAGGTTTAAGACAATGATATTTTACAGAGTTTTTTCATATACATGTTTTCCTGATATGTGCTTAAGTAGAGGCACTGAACCTTTTTGGCTGGTGGGCCAGATGGGCATTGTCCAGTCCCTCCGTGAGCTGGATTTGGCTGGGTGGTGGGGGAGAGGGAGGAGTTCCCTTTTGGGACTGGGCAGCCCTGAGTGCCAGGACTTCCAGCTATCAGGGAGCTGCAGTGGTGGGCCTGCTGGGGCCTGGCCACATTCCCCCCTGCCTCAGCTTAACTTCCCGGTGGAAGGGAGGGCTGCTCTAGCACCCCTGGGTTTCTGGCTTGAGCCACTGCAGGCATGTGCTGAACGTCTATCCACTTGCAAACCAGGTCATTCACTGCAGGTTAGACTAACCTGCAAAGACTGAATCAATTCAAGCTTTTTGAATGTCTGTCCCTAGCCAGAATGTACCAGGAATCAAAGCCAGGTGCAGCTGCACCACTGCACCCCCTTTGGATCTATCCCTGGGTAGTGGTACCACCTCACAATTTCTTACAAGCTTTTTATTCATTTTACTTGGGAAACATTTAAAATGTGTTCCTTATCATTTTATTTTAGTCTGTTTTACCATCCTATTTCTGTAAAAAGAATGCTTTTCCTATTTTTAGGTCTCCCTCTTCCTAACTACTATAATGAAAACTTAGTAGAATATCTTCTAAAATTTGAACTGCTGGAATATTTGGCTTCCCCCCCTCCACTGAGTTGTAGGGAGTACAACAGCCTCAAAGCTGCTTTTGTCCTCATGTAGCTGAGTGCCTCTTCAGACTTGATGAATAATGACTGCCCTATAGTTGCCAGTAGTTGGAAAGTGCTTATAGTAATGCATCTCTAAAAAAAAAAAAAAAAAAAAAAAGCTGTAGAGATATAAATCTTCTGAGACATTGATTGCTCTATGCAAACCACAATATCAGAATGAGGGGGAGTTACTGTTTACCAGAGTGAGCAGTTACCCAGTTTATCAGTCATGCAAACCAATGCCTTTCTAAGAAGCCTTCAACTTCACACAGATTCCTATGCTTATTGATGCTTCTGGGGCAAAATTCCCAGCCATATGGCCCAGTGGGACTTTCATTGCTAAACAATGAACCTCACAAATGATGACGGTAAACAAGAACTCAGGAGTGAATTATCCTGTTGTTTTGATTTCAAATATGTAATGTTTATTTTCCGTATCATTTTACTTTATCAATGTTTAGATGAGGTACAACCCTAGTTCATAAAATAGTTTTCCATCTTATTTGTACATCTTTTATTAAAATATGTGTATTTTCTAATGACAAGTTATGTCAGTTTTATTAGACTATGACATCCAGATATAAAGTCATCTGGCCTGAATTATGGTTTAGTACGGCTGGATTATAGATATTGTGACTGTTTTCTCATTCACTCTCATTTTGATAAGATTGTTGTCTCTTTTTCTTTTTACTTTTTAGGTCTGTAGCTTTTAAAATATGCTCTTTTTTCTGAGCACAAATGTCTAATTCTGACAGCCATGGGCAATGCCTTAGGAACCTGGCCTGCAACAACATTTCTTTTTTACCACAAACATTGAGACAGTACTCCAGAGCTAGGAAAAGTAAATAAGTTCTTTCTCTCTGGATAGCATGCCATATACATGTCTGTCTGGGATCATGCAAGTTCAGAACCCTGCCACTGTGCAGGGTGCTGTACTAGATGGCTCTTGATGTCTCTTCTAACTCTATGATTCTTCTCTAGTCTAGACAATACAGTCTCATTCAGAGTAAAATCTTCTATTCAAGATTTTTAGCTTTCTTTTCCTGGATATGTGGAATTAGCCCTAGTTCAATAGACTAAGTGCTAATTATATCACTTGCCATGTTGTTCCGAAATCACTCTCAGAACATGAGAATCAGCTGATAAGATGAGCCTACCAGTATTCAGAACTATACACCTTTTAGCTAGAGAAAATCTCTTATGTTGCCAGCATCCCAGTGTCACCTTGGATACTGACAAGTTGACCAAGTTTAGTTGCAGGAAATCCAAAACTGTAGACATCTCATTGACTGAACCATATCATAAAGTACTCTAGGGCCTATTATGTTGGGTGCTAACTTTCACTCAGCTGTCTAGTCTAAGTCTGGTGTCTAGATTTAAGCACACTTGACTGTGTAGGCTACTTGTCTAAAGTTGTTGTGAGTTGACATAAGTGGTGTTATCTGGGTATGTTAAGCCTGCTGCCAGGGATCCATCCCTCTGATAAGCCACTTGCTTGAAGCAGGTTGATACGTAGCATAAACATTGACTTAGTTCAAGTGTTCCTACCCAACAGAGTTCAGTATCTAAGATCCAGCATCATTAACCACTTGTCAAAGTATTTTGGTCCCAGGTTCTCAAGATTGCCCACATCAACTGGGTCTAATACACATTATTGACTAGCTGACTGTGAAGCCAAGAAACAGTACCATTCATCAGCAATTCCAAAAAAGTAGTAGCTTTATCTTAGTATAGAATCCCACATTCACTGTTTTCACCATCTAAGCATTTTCCACAGGACACTGTTGTTCCCTCTTGCTCCTGCAGATTCAGGTAAGAGTAAGCTAGTATAAGTGCATTTCCAAGGCTTCAGCATGTACAACAAACAACTTGATGCATCTCAGCACCAGGTGAGAGTAGAGAGTCTTCCTGGTACTGACATAGAATAGGTTCATAGCTACACAGCACATAGAAATCAGTACGTCAGTAATGATACTGGTTTTATATAACTTCTGAAACCAGCACAACTGTTTGTCTGTAGAGAGCAAGCAAGAGGGTATGGCTCAGTAAGATGGAAAGGGAGGGAGCCCTGGAATCTGGACCTTGTTCCTATCCACAATGGAGCGAAAACTCCCCCACTGCTGTCTATTCATTTTAGCCAATGACTTCTAAATGTAGAAGATGGAAACAACATTGGGGGCTGGAATACAAATCCAGGGTTCCTGCCCTTCTTGGGGAGCGCCCATCTCTGAGTCACACTCTCTCAAGCTTGCTTTCCTATCCCACATATCTTCCCATCTTGGCTGCCATTGGGCCAGCTACAGTTGGAGGGCACTCTTAGGCCTGCATTTCCAATGGTTTTGTGGTTAACACATTTTGCTGAGGGTAGGAGATGTAAGTTCAAAACCCATCTGGGTGAGGCGGCCTAGAACTTGGGTCTCCCACTTACTTGACATGTGCTTTAACCACCAGGTTGGACTAAAATGTGGGAGGGTTCTCTTCTACCTTTGTTTTTGTGACTTACATAAAGTTTTATGCCTTTCTGGGGTGAGGGGAAAGGGAGTGGGATCTAAAATCCTTGTAAGTGACTCTAAATACCATTTATGGGCATTTTTACACGTGCTTCTGACACGAAGCCAGGTGCTATTAATTAGCAAGCTGTGCTAATTAAAAGCACACATGCATCATGTGTATCAGTGGCACAGCATGTCCCCGCGCTGAGAAAATAGCAACGGGGCACTTTGAATGTGTTTTATTTCAAAGCACGCTGCCGCCATTTTCTCAGCACAGAGGTGCACTGCACCACTGATACACAGGATGCACGAGGCTGCCAGAGCACGTCAATTTACATCCTCCAGCAGACTTGATTAATTGAGTCTGCTTCTATGTGCTGGGTTGGAGCAGGCTTCCTGCATGTGTGTAAGTGCCCTATGTGACTAAATTAGCAGCATAAGGACTACTTGTCCATTCAGAGGTGAAGCTGCATTTGGGCCAATATGTTTCACTGTGGAAGAAGTGCTGACCTTACTACCTATTTGGATTAAGGAAGATGTTCAACTTTATTGTGTTGGATAATCCTATGCCATACAACCATCACATACAGGCTCCATTTCAGAACTACTTACATACTGTGATCACAGTTATATGCCATTACAGGTGTTTCAGAGTCTAATAAAACTCATAGGAGAATTTAGAGGATGTTATTTGGCCTGTAAATTAAAATGTCAATGTGAATTTAGTTTTGCTGGCAAAAGTATTAAAAAGATGTCTGTTTTCACAATTTCTAATCTGTCCCTGCTAGGGCATAGAGTAAAGAATTTAAAAACCAAGAATATCTAGGCCACTACTTCTGAGGAATAAGTAGTCAGCCTATGGTACCATTTTTTTTCTTTGGAATATAGTAAAGGCACATCATAGCAATAAAATCCCAATACAGCTTATTATACCTGCTTTCTGTGAAGATTTCTACTATAAGATTTTATTTTATCATTATTAAGATAGACTGCATTGTCTGTAACTAAACTTTTAGTTTTTATCTCGCTCTCTTCTTATTGCTTGATAGTCATCTGAATGTTCAGAATTTGTTCTTTAAAAAATAAAATATTATTCACTATCTAGAGTTCTTGTTTCTGGTATTGAATAGCACTTTCTAATATGGATGTGTATAACCCCATATCTGATATTAATCAATGCAATGTTTTATTCAAGTGAGTGATTGAAGGCCATTTAGTCCAATATAGAGTTAATGGGATAATAACGAGTTAGAAATTTGGGGTAGCCTAAAGAGTTAGACCTGCATTTCTGTGTCACCCATCTATCAAAATATTAATAGAATTTTGAATTTAATTCCCTGATCAGCTCATTGTTCAGTGCCCTGTTATTAGAGTACCCAAATGTGGACCATAATCCTAATGGTGCTGTTTGTGTTTCAGACCTTTGCTATGCAGCGTGAGTACAAATCTATCCAAGGTGGCAACCTTTTGTCCACCTAATCAAAGTCAAAGCCTGAGGATTGCAGCCAACTCAAATTCAGATGGTTTAACTAGGCTTAAATTATTGCCCAAATCATTTGCCCACCCTTAACAGTTGCATGTCTTATATAATATCAGTTTACAGCATGCTAAATTGTATAGCCATAGTATGGGAGATGCTGTACTAATCTACTTTGAGAAGATATTAAGACTTTACCTTTTCTATATCAACAGAAACCTGCAAGCAGAATATGACCGACTGAAGCAGCAGCATGATCACAAAGGACTCTCTCCACTGCCATCCCCACCTGAGATGATGCCTATCTCCCCCCAAAGTCCCCGAGATGCTGAGCTCATTGCGGAAGCTAAGCTGCTTCGCCAGCACAAGGGCCGCCTGGAAGCCAGGATGCAGATTCTTGAGGATCACAACAAACAGCTGGAGTCACAGCTGCACAGGCTGAGACAACTGCTGGAACAGGTGAGCCATCAGGCTTTTTTATTTGGATTTTGAAAGAATGATTTTTCTAAAGCATAGTTTGAAACATCACCTATAATTGTAACCCATTTAGAAGTGGTATTTGTAAGTGCTAGCCAGAGAAGAGAAAGAGTTGATCTTTCTGTAGATAAGTGGTAAAATAAGACCACAATTAGTGCATTTTTTGTGATCTGTTTCTTCTTTTAACTCACAGCTGCATTTTATAAAAAGGGGCTGTGTAGTCATGGGATAGATGCAAACTATACAATAACCAGCTTGTTTTCTTCTAATATTTCAGCCCCAGGCAGATGCCAAGGTGAATGGTACAACTCTGTCCTCTCCTTCTACCTCCTTACAGAGGTCAGATAGCAGTCAGCCAATGCTTCTCCGTGTTGTTGGCAGCCAGACTTCCGAAACCATGGGTAAGTTCAAACTGTAATCAAAGATTGTTTTATATCACCTTAACACTATAGGCTTAAGTATTTGGCATTGTGTAGTGTCACAGATGTCTTGACATCAAACACAGAGCTCATCCAGAGTTTGTTTTTTATAAAAATGGGCAGCACAGATAACCTAAAGTATCCAGGTAAAACATATAAAAGCCAAGGATCAAGGAGAGCCACTTCCACACAGTGATCCCTGGTAACGTCTCTGATGGCCAAGAGCTCCCAAATCGACAAAAACACCAAAGTGCACGCAGATAAAGATCTGGACACCATTTTTGTCATATGAAAGAGAGTATAAAAGCCAGGACGTTTAACTTAATTTGACCTTCTTGTAGACAGAATAATTATGACTGAAGACTTAAAACATACAAGCAATCATCCTAGTATTTTAGCTGATAGCATCTTAAAAGGCAGAGCAGAGGTGTATTTCATAGACTAACCAAATCAAAGATGCGTAACCTTTCATGAGTAACATCATAGCATCTGTTAAAGTGATTTATTGCTCATGAAAGCTTATGCATTGGATTCAATTAGACTGTAAGGTACACCTCTACCCTGCCTTCTACCTGATATCTTCCTATTTTAAAATACCATTTTTAAATAAATAGAATTGCAATGCCACTCGCAAGCAACACCTACCTGGTTGCTTTTATAAAAATGTATGTGTTGATAAACAGGGATCCTGGTTTTCTCTGAGAAAAAAAATCCACATTTCCATGTTTAAACTGAAACACCACTAAAATTAGTGGTGTTTCATTTTGGAATGGAAAAATGTGGATTTGGGGTTACTAATTAAAAACAAAAATTGGGGATTTTTTAATCAGAGAAAACCAGGATCCCTGGTGATACCCTACAACCCATATGATAGGGTAAGTTTTATTAATAATATTCAGTATATGATGGCTGGGAATTTTGCTTGTGTGTCTCTATAGTAAGTTTTCTGTAATTTTCCTAGGTGACATAAGTATTTGTTGTCCAGGAAGAAGGATTCATTTCAAGTAACATCATTAGTATGCAGTAATGTTCGCTTGCAACAAATTAATTTAATTAGATTACCTCAACGTACTAATATAGTTCATAGTATATATTAATATCAGTGCTACCAGTATAAGATAACATAGTATAGGAATATTACAGAAGATAAAAGTGAGAGAAGAGTAGTCAGGATCAATAGGGGATTTTACTGTAGGGCCTCTGTGGTAGCTTATTTTCTTACTTAGTCACCTATACCATAAACAAACTAGAAAATTTATTATGAGCGTAATAATAACCGATTTAGGTCAGTGATCCAAAGAAATTAAATTTTGTAAGCCTTATCATTTCATGACACACTTAATTACTCCTTTTTATGTTTTTTTCCCTTTTGCCATAAAATGTATTACTTAGAAGTATGCAAACAAAAACAGAAATGCAGCAGTTACCAGCCTCCTTATTAACAGATGATTAAGTCTATGTCACATCATAAGTTAGGCCAAAAATAAAATAATTTGCTTCTCATCGTGCAAAACATGACAAAAAATTATGCTCATTTTAACTAATTTGTTGTACCAGAATTAGTTAGGAGTGTTTTTTTTTTCTTTTTTAAACAAAATTTAGAAGGGCACAAAACATTTAATTGATTTCAGTATAATCATAATGGCTAGGTACAGACAGTCAAAAAGCCCAAGGCTGAATTGATTCAGTCTTTGCAGGTTAGTCCAAGCTGTGCAAATTGAACCAATTAACGAATGGACAAATGTTCACTTTTGAATCAGGAAATGCCAGAAGCCAGGGGTGCTACAGCACACCTGCCAGCCACAGCCAAAGGAGAGGAGAGAAAGCCCTCCAAAAAGGCTCTTACCCCTCCCTGCTGGAGCAGAGCGGGCATGGTCAAGCACCAGTCTGAAGTAGTCTGCTGTAGGGTGGGGGTTTAAATCCCTTCCCAGGCCAGGGTGGCCATCATAAAGTACAGTCCGGTTGTCCTCTGTCCTCTATTGATACCAAACAGGACACCTTTATGTCCTCTATTTTTCTCTTGAAGAGAAAAGTAGAGGACATAAAGGCGTCAGGTTTCATATCAATAGAGAACAGAGTAGCAGAAAACCGGGATGTCCTTTATGATGGCCACCCTATCCCTGGCCCACATGGGACACCAGCTGGGGTCTGGGGGGGAAAGAAAACATCCTTTCTCTGAAGCAAGAGTATATTGAACACAGCAATTTGCAACCTCAAGCACACAACTTAAGAACAACCAAAAACTCTTGCCTATGCTAAGATACATCCCAGTAAAACACAATGAGAGTGCACACAGCTTAGTCTAACTTGAAATGGACTATAATAAACCAAGAAGACAAGAGAAAGCCTTGCATAAATCTTACATAATCCTGAGGGTGGAGTGTCTCCTTACAGCCAGGTATTCAGGAAAGTATTCCCATCTTTTATACGTTCTGCTTTATAATGTAAATGTACCTCTCTGCATTCTTTGGTCAAGCTGTCTGCAACCCTCAAGCCATCTGGGACCCTCTTCTGTTCCCTTAGCTCCATCTCCTCACATACATGTGATGATTGTGCCAGGTCTTTACCAACACCTCCCACCTCTCAGTCTGGTCTTGCAGGGCTAGGCTCTGCACTCATAGGGCGCATCCAGACAAGCACAGCCATGCAGTATGTGACACTGTAAACACATTTGCAGCACCACATACCGCGCAGTCCTGTGCTCTCCATGCTGCACGGGCATGCTGCCCAAGTGTGTGCTGCGCTGGGTTTTTTTCTGTAGGTTTTTTTGACCTGTGGATACCCAGGAGTAAAAAAAAATGCAAAAAAAAAATGGAGCAATGCATGTTCGGCCAGCACGTGCTGAAAAGCGGAGCCAGGCCACCCGGAGCCGTGCTCCGCTCCCAACCTGGCTGCACATGGCAGAATCACTGTAGCTTCAGCCCCAGGAGGCCCCTACAACCCCAGGTAATGGTCCTGGGGCCAGCCCAGTGCTGGCATCAGCCTCCCCTACCCCAATTGGGGCAACTTGCTGTGCGCCAAAGCACATGTGGCACAGACATTCTCTGGGGACAAGAAGTGGCAGCGCAAGGTGCACCGCCTCTACTTGTCCTCGGGGAACCAAACACATGTCCTTCCACGTGTGGCAGGGGCAAGCCTGGTTCCCCAGCCTCTTCCCCCTCCCCCATGGCTTGGGGGAGCTTGGGGAAATCCTGCCCCCTCCCCTCTCCCTTCCCCTCCTCTTATCAACTGCTTACTTTAGTCTCGCCAGAGGTGGGAGGGGGTGGTGTCTTCTCCTTAAGAAGGGTCCTATCTTGTCCCTTCCTCCAATAAGTCTCTGGATACAAAAAGGCAGGTGAAATCACCGCCCCTCCTGCCGCATCGGGGAGGCAGGCCTCGCACAGCCTGTTATGCCCCCGGGCCATGGGGGCTCAGAGAAGCCAGAAGTGTTGCGATGGGCACTTCCAGTTTCACTTTATCTTACAAGCCGGCATAATGGTTAGTGGAGCATGCCGGCTTGTAAGATGCCGGATAGCACAGCTTTTACTGTACTTGGAAAAAGGTTCTTTGAAAGCTTCCGGGCATAGACACCCTTCTTCAGGCAGTGTGAGATTCTGCTGATGCAATGAGTTCTCCATGGTAGAAAAGAAGCTAAAGAAAACAAGAAGTCTGTGAAGAGGTAAATGAGAGGAAGCTTGGAAGACGAAGGGATAGGAAAACGCATGCTGCTAGGTAGGTGGGTTAATAACAGAAACAGTCAAAGTTGTTAGTCCCATACTGCAATCTCAATAGCTCTTGGATTAACATTTTAACAAGGTGCTAGTTACCTTTGCTGTGCAGGCAGTGGTTTGACGTGCAGTTGTTAAAGGAACAGCAAGGAGGCAATAAACCTCCTCCCTGCCCTCTTAACTATGCCAGCTGGCATCTGGTCATGCCCCGCCGCTGCCGCTGGAGCAGTAAGTGGGGAGGGGCTCTGACAGGGGCTGCTGTAGCCCGGCCAGGCAGGCCCCAGCTGGGGTCCTGAGGGGAGAGAGGAGGAAATAAGGCTCCCTTCTTGTCCCCTTTGCCTCAGGGGGCCATGCTGGGGTGGCATCCTGCCATGCCCCTGTCCCTACTCTGCCTAGTGAGTAGAGGGGTGGGGCCAGCCCTACTCGCTGTAGCAGACAGCACAGCCCTGCCCAGCCCAGGACTGAAAAGCATGCTGGGCTGCTGGGGGACTCTGGGAGGGGAGGAAGGGATCTAGGACAGAAGTTCTGTAAACCAGTTTGACACAAATCATTTAAGTCTGATACTACATTCAACCAGGTTTATCCTAACCCAGTTTCGGCCGTTTTGAAACTGGTTTATGTGCACTGAGCTTCTGTTTTGTTACAGGTTTAAACCAGTTTCTGCTCACTTAAACCAGTTTATGTGTAACTTCTGTCCCTAGGCAATGAGACCCAGTAATGAAGTAGTCTCACAGTGTTATGTGACAGAGATCACACAGTCTTATGAGCCATGCTAATGTGAAATGTTCTTAACTGATAATGTTTGTCATGTTTTCTTCTTTCCCATCCCAGAAGATTTGAGGCTATGAGGCTGTCTGCTTTTGAAATGCAATTCAAAACAGAACAAAAATAATGAGGATGCTGAGAAAGAAACTTCTCTAGCCTAAATCAAAATCTAGTTTTAGATAATACTGTTCATACAAAAGGTGTGTTCCACCTCTCTTTTTCAGAGCACTGATTTGCATAATGGTAGCTACTTATCATCTTCCCTTGGTAAGAAGGACTTCTTTTTTGGGTTAAATCCTGCTACAGTTATCTCTGTAAATTATCGCTGTAGTCTTAAAGTTAGATTACAGCAATCTGTTCTCCACAGAGCTGTAATGTCGAAATGCTTCCAAAATGCAGAAATCTGCACATGAAATAGGCTTGCATACTAGAGCGCGTTACACCTCTAGTTTTTGATCTGCCCTGGTGATAAACTGACTCCTGAGTGAGACTTGAAGGCATTGGTTTTGTCATTCAGGTATTAGGGTCCCAACCTTTTGCTTCTCTCCTTTCCATATTGTAGTAGTTGAGGCCACCTGAAACAGTTCAGCTAAGAGTTTCTTTGTGATAGTGATTAGTAAGGGAGCATTTCTTAGAGAATATTTTTGCTAAGCATTATATGATTTGCAAACTTATTTCCCAGCTCAATGTACCAGTAGCCCTTCTAAGCATGCTGTAAGATACTGTTCTACCAGCATGGTACCAGTACCAGCAATGGTTTGGGTTGAGTTTTTGTTATGGCTGTTTGTGTGATGTCCTGTCTCAACGGTTTATTTAAATGTATGTCAATTTTAAGTAATCTTTTCTTAGCCAGTTAGCATTGAACATAGGAGTTTTGACCAAGAGGACAAACATAGCTGAGCTCATATCTGTGCTCATTATTCTGTGGACCCTAGTGCCTGCCTTTATTGAGGGAAAATAATGTTGACCAAGACAACAGTTATTCCCTAATCTTTGGATTTTTAAAAGTTTTGACTTCACTATCTGGGTTGAAGAAGTACAGTGCTTGAGTATGGGTGGCAATATCTGGCTCTGAATATCCATTTTGATATCTGCCAGAGGTTGAAAAAAATTATTTTAGTTTTGCTAAATTTTCCAGTGATGGCACCTCTAACAAGGCAACATTTGATGTGAAAATGAGTCCTGCTGCCTCAAAGTGCAGACATGGGCTAATCCTGAGAGTAGAGAGTATGAGCAATCTTGTAAAAGTTAGATTTTATCTTGTCTCTTGTATTAGAAAATTCAGTAACGTGGAATATAAAAAAGTTGAATTTTTGCTAGCATTAACATTGTTTAGGTTGCATTGGTTTTTCAAGCTGAGTGTTAAGACACATTGTATATTCATCACTAACAACAGGGGACTGTGCATTAGAGGACAAAGGCTCATCAAGTCATTTTCAAAATGATGATGCACCTTTAGATGCTTGTTACAGATGGCAAAGCAGCTTTTGCATCTTAATGTGGGATTAGAAGAGACAAATAAAAGAGAGTGAATCTCACTCACTGAGTATCCTCCAGGTTTATTCTCCTTTTAGAAACCATGCTTTTGAAGGACTTTACTGTTATTAGGAGGTAGATTAAAAACTAGCAAAAGTACCCTCCTTTGGTGTACAATTGGGCAGATGGCTTTTGATTCTGTGAAAACATCAGAAAATGTAAAGTTACCTGTGAAAATGAAATGTATTAAAACTCCCATTAAGCTTCTCCCTTATAATCAGGTTACAGAAATTATTCAAAGGGACAAATGTATTTTGCTTTGTTAAACTGCTGCTAAAACCTTCTACAGTACAATTGAATGTTCCTGAAGCTCCAATCTGATGCAATTAAACTGTCAGAAATATTAATACTGATGCAGATGAGTATTTCAGTTAGTTCTGATTTACTCTGGTAGGCAACACATTGTTAAAATGAATTCAGCACCATTAGACAGCTACTCAGACCGCACTATCACAGCAGTAACATTTGGTCCCAGTAATGGAATGAAAGCAGCTGAAAGAGAGGCCATCATTTGGCTGGACTCACTACCCTTACTAGACATTTTCCCCTAGAGCAGGCTATCCTTTCATTGTTTTTAATTAATTTAATTGAATTTACATGAATTTGTTAAAAAGAAAAATGAAAGGAATATGATTACTGGCAACATTTAAAATTTAGATTGGATATTATCCAGAAGGATTTATTTCAAGTGCTCAGCTTCAGGTTAGGGTGAAGTTGCACATTACATTTAGACATACTAAATCTGTCGAATGTTAAGCAGTGTTAATATTAGAACGTGCTATGAGCAATTGCACATTAAGGGTTATACTGTTTCTTGCCTGCACAACTCTGACTTGTCACTAGAGGTCTGACAAATGGAGGTGTGGCTAGTTGCCGGGATACCTGTGCCCTATCTCTGCTCTGGGTGGTAGGGAAGGAGGCTTTAAGCAGTGCAGATTGGGATACTGGAAGACTGCAAATCATTTATTTTATCACCATGGAGCAGACAGATGTTACCCTAACATCAGCTAAGTAGCACGGTCCAGAGCTAACCCTTGCCAGAAGTGGCATAACTTTGAGAAACTCAGAGGGCACTTAGCACAAGTTAGCGAGCTTTAATGTGCAGGCACTCACATTTTAAGTATCCTTAGTATGGTTTAAGTATAACACGTAACTTTGCCCTTAGGTACATGAAGAAATAGCCTTCAAGATGATCTGTTTACCAGGTATTTTTAAGTGACTTAAATATTCTGATTTGGATTTGTTTTTCAGGTGAGGATGACCTGCTCAATCCTCCCCAGGACACAAGCACAGGTTTGGAGGAGGTGATGGAACAGCTTAACAATTCCTTCCCAAGTACAAGAGGTAAGCTTTCAGCACTCAAAAGCATATATCAGTAGTTAAAAAGATAGATTTCATTAAAGATCACTCAGTTTGATGATATTTTAACAGATCGCGTGCAAGTGCACGCATGTGCATGTAAATGACAGAAACACCTGCTTCTGTCCCTGTTTTTTTCCCTGAGACTGATTCGAGGTCTGTATGTTTGTTTTAAAGGCTACAAAGTAAACCTGTGTTACCTACACAGAATGAAATAACAATTTCCCCTACACCTACGCCAACGATAGGGCCACAGTAACAATTCACACGCTGTATTTCTTACCTTAGAATTTTCCTCTCTTCCCTTTTTTTAGAGTTTTATTTTTTCTTTCCTCTTTTCTGAGAGGAATGTGAACTCAATAATATTAAAATGTAAAGCAGAACTTTCAAACTCATGACATTTGAGTTAGAAAGGAAACAAAACAAGTTGGTGGCTAGTTTGTGCCATGCAAGTGGGGAGTATGTTTGTACAGAGACAACTGTACCTATTTCAATGTCTCATTTCAATAAAAGTTCACCTCTTTTATTTGCTGAAGATAAGCACATGTATTATTTGAATGATGGTTTTCAAAGCCTTTTTAAAAGAAATGTCTTTTTTCTAAGTCAGGATAAAACATCCTGCTGTTGTATTCAAAACTGGAGATGGGACACTTCCTAGTAACTTCAGAGGGCCCACATAATTCCTGTGTCATTTTGTCATTGCCTTCATGGTACCTAGACTTTGTGCAATCCCTGGCTCAACTGGATTTTTTTTCCCACAGGATATGTCTGATTTTATTCCCAAGCCACCCTTTGTGCCATGCTCGCCTTTCTGTGGAGTTTAGCTGCTTTTCTATCCTTTGATTTCAAAGGAAGTCCAGCCCACCAAAAGTGTTCTGATGATACAACAAGTAAAAATTGAAGACAGGCTGGAGAAATTAATGGGCAAATGAATAATAGAAATAGATTAAATTACAGGAATAGCTTAGAAAAAATTATCCAAGAAAATCAGATATTTTTACCTAAGTTTGTCTTCTTCACTGTATAGTCACTTGGGTACTGTACACCTTTAATTTAGCCATCAGACAGAGGAAATATGGGAAGGGTGCTGGAACCAAAATCCTTAGTTAGGCACCTAAAAGAAAGTGTTCTGCTTTTTAAAATTGCTGAGAACATGCAGCTCCCACCGGTGTCAGTAGGTTTTGTAAGTGTGTAGCACATCTCAACATATATGACATTTAAGTGTCCTACATATTCATTTAGGAGTCTAGCTTTAGGTACTCAGGTTTATGCATTTGCTCCATCTTTATTTTACTTAAATTCCTAATCAGAGCTGATGACATTAAAAATAATGTTCCTTTCCTAAATACAAACATGACTTTGACTACGGTGGTCACAATGTTAAAAGTCAATAATTCTGGAGGTGTTTAATGCAGAGTAGTTATTTTGCTGCACTTCACGTGAGAAATAGCTACAACACTTTAGATAACAATCTGCACTGACTGCAAGTAAATAGGGTTTTGTTTTGTTTTTATCTCTGTAAATGAAACAAGACTTCCCAAATATAACTGACATCGTATAAACACTGTAGGGAGCCTTTTGTAAGCAGTGAGATTCTGTATTTTGTAATATAGTCACTCGTATTTAAGTACAAAAAGCAAATGTTTATGTTTGTATCCCAGTGCTGCCAAATGTGTGCATACATCGGTGTAGAATGGTTTCTTCTGTCAGTAACTGCCTTAGAAATGTATTATGCCAGGGGGTTCAAAGATATGGCTTGTGGAGCCACATTATTTGGACCCCTGATCTCCAGTTGACCCACACATCAAATGCAGCATCCACCAGAGACAGGTCCTAGACACAGGGCCCAAGGCACAGTGTCTACTTTGGAACCAGTGCTGCATGTTGCACCCATGCAGGACCAGTCCAAGACTCTCACCAACATGCCAAATCCAGCTCCCCCTGCCGGATCAGTCCAGGACTGGCCATGAGACATGAGGCACAGGCAGCCTTCACTCAAACTGGTCTGAGACAGGCATCACATGCAGTGTGGGTCCTGGAGCAGATGCTGTGTGCAGCACAGTTGCAGACCTGCCAGAGCAGGCACACTAGTGGAGGAAGGGTGTCCTGGACTGGCCCTGCATGGGCGCCATGTACAGTGCAGGCACATGTGCAACATGTCACAGGCCCTGTGCACAGGGTTGGTCCAAGGCATGCCACTTGTAGTGTGAGTGACCCCCACGTCCCAGATCCAGGACCCACCTGCTCCCCAACCTGTGCTGCATGCAGTACCCACCCCAGGCTGGGCTGTAGCAGGTGCCATATGCAGCACAGTCCCAAAACATTTCCCATGGGGACTGGATCTGGCATGTTGGCAGGGAAGGTGTGTTGGGCTGATCTGGCCCCCAGGGCCAGCCCTGTGCTGTTTATCTGGTGCATGGACCAATGTCGCATCCATGGGACCAGATGAGTTTGACTGCCCTGTATTACGCGATGCTCTAAAAGAGATTGCAGATAAAAATATTACAAATGAAAAAAAAGAAAATATCTGGGGCAGATCTCCTGCTAAGCCATAGACATATAAACTAGAATACAGATGTTTAACTAGCAGTTTGATGCTAAAGACTGAGTCAAAGAGTTAAACATGCCATGAACTTGTACATGTAGCACATCAGCGTAAGTGTACCACTCTGAAATCATTTTAAATTTCCTCCAGTCTGTCCAACTTAAAAGGACTGTGTGCATTTCCCTGGCTGTGAAGCCAAGGATGCTATTACTAATTGCAAGCTGCCACCTTCTTCAAGAGGCAAAGCCATAGATGATCAGTCTCTCAGAAATTACATCAGGAATGCTCAGAGCACGTACAGCACAACCTCTGCAGTCCCATTACCAAATTTCCTAACACAAAGTTCTTTCTTCCCACTCCTTATTACCTAAAATATCCCCATGCTGACTACTTTGTTTTGAAAGTCTACTAGGAAAAAAAGAGGATCCATGAGGCTCAAGATTTTCCCTACTTCTTCCCTTCCACTAAATGAAACTAACTAGAGCTAATGGAGCTTCCTGGAAAACAGTTGCAGCCAGGAAGTAGGAAAAGTCTCACCATAAGACACAGGCATGTTTCACACACAGTTGCATTTTATATGCTGCCAATAGGCTTCCTGGGATATGCCCTTGGCATATGGAATGAGGTGGCCCAAACTGAAAGAGCAAGGAAGTCTCATTCAGATTCCTCTGTTTCCCTAGCTATGCTTAAACTCATTTTCATGCTGGGTAAGGTTGTTTTTTTTTATTGGTTGACGAGTAATGAGGCTTACCCTCCACAATAAGATAGTCTGTGTCTTGAATGAGCTACCTTGCCACACAGCCTATATCCCTGGATTTTCAGAGGTTGTGTGATGCATCTGACATTTTCATTTAGATATTTTCAGTTACTATTCATTCTTTTTCATTGCTAACCCTTAACTATTGTTCAGCCGGGTTCACATTCCACAGACACATCTGCAGCAGTCCCATTCAGAACACTAATTGCTCTGCAACATCAGATCCGTCTGGATTCCTGTTTGTGATCCCTGAATTTGCAGACAGGAGAGAGGAAAACATGGCTGAGTGGTCTCACTCTTGAATCATGAGGTATTCAGCCACTGAGATGTGTGACCCTGTGCAAGGCACTTGACAAGTCTATGCCTCACTTTTCCCATGTGTAACATGGGCACAATAATACGTACCAACATCAAAGAGGGGCCTTGTGAGAATTAATGGTGTGTGAAGCACTCTGGCAACAAAGCTGTATATTCGGACTGAAAGGTGTGGAAGCATTATTTTCTTTCATTTTTTAATGAGCCTCACAGTAATAGAACTAGAGTAACAGAACTCTAAGCAGTAAGCAGAACAAGTTTATAAAGGATAAATTTTGTCATTTGATCATTTTTACTAGAATTATAAAACTCAGAGAAGAGGAAATGTAGCAGCTTTCATAGCTGGAATTTAGAAAAAATATTTTATATTGTATGTCATGATATACAAATTAAAAGATAAGTTTTGTCTGGCTTAGCTAGGAGATGCCATGTGTAATGAAAATTGTTAAAGAATTTAAACAATGAGGGTGCTAAGAGAGGGCTTTTAAAAGCTTCCATGGTGATTGGGGTTAGGATTGATTGTATTTAAATCTTCACTGATGACCTGGAAGAAGGAGAAAACCTCTCTGAGCCCAATTTAGAAAACATTTGGAGGAGCTGCAAGTCTCAATGAATAGGGACTATGAGGAAACCTTTTGAGTTTGCAAACTGGAAAAAAAGAGATTTGTTCAGGAGGAAAAAGAAATCCAAACTGAAATTGGTGTGGAATGGCATGGAGAAACTTGGGAGAGAGTAATGTTGAAAAAGACCTAGGGCTGTTAATGGGCAGTGAATAAAATGCATGTTTGCAGTGAGCTAGGAGCTGCAAAAATAGGCCAGTTTAATTTTAAGCTGAATATACAAACTCATCATGTCACAAAGGAGTGAGGCACTAATCCTCTTGTATACGGCAGAATCTGGAATGCTGTATTCCATTTGCATCCCACACTACCAGAAAAATACCAACAAACCAGAGGGAGCTCAGAATGTGGGCCGAGTGGGGATTGATTTATGAGGCAAGATTAAAAGGACCGAACGAGCGATAATAGAGGCAGACACAACTGTCTGGGAATATATGAAGTCTTTTGACACAAAGAAGAAAGCAAATCTACATGGTGGGGTGCACGGAATCATGGGATAACATTTAAAAATAGAAAATTTAGCCTAAATATCAGGAAAAAACATCCTGAGGGTGAGAACCTGCAAGGCGGAGAAATAGTCTCCCAAAGGATATAGTGAAAGATGTTATTTGAGGCTTAAATGGAAATGTATAATGGGGATTAATCCTCAGTGTCAGGAAGATGAACTCATTTTTTTGTTATGCCTTTTCCATTCCTATCTTCTGTTAGTAGTTGTGTTCAGAAGGGCATCAGAATTTATCATTGATTT